GGGGGGGGGGGCAAGGAAATATCAGGTAGCTGCGTGCCCAACATCGGTAGGGTGGGAAAGATGAGTAAAAAAAATCTACTTTGCCTATTTCTGGAACTTCGAAAAATGCACGCGATAACCAGGCTTGGTCCTGACGAGTAAAACTTAACGACCGGAAACTCTTTCCCGTCTAACATTACTATAGGGACTTTGGGAAATATGTAAGTGTGTAATGTTTCTTTGCGGGTTGCTAAAATAATTCCCTCACCTTAGCCCTGAGAGGGTGTTCCACAGGACAATTAAGGAGTGTTTTATTTCATTACTTCGACCATGTGACCTTGCGCCCCTCTCCCCCGCCCCCGCGTTCAAAGTCTTTTGTGTTTTTTTTTCCCCCCATGAACAGTGAGCAGGCTTTCTTGGGTGGAAAGTTGGCATCGCCTCTAATTGTACTTTTGGCTCCTCTGCCTGCCTTTTGTTTTTCGTTTGCGGGCTGCCAAACCTCAGGTTTAGTTCCTTCCACATCAGATAGCTCTTTGGCTGGGCAAGGAGGAAAGGAAATGTGAGGCAAGTTCACGAGGATTAAGGGAATTTTAAATTGCTCAAATAATGCCGTATGTAAAAACCCTTTTGGGGGCGCCTGGGTGGCTCCGTCGGTGGCGCGTCCAACTCCTGATGTCTGCCCAGGTCATGATCCCAGGGTCATGATCGAGCCCGCCCCCGTCGGGCTCCACACTGAGGGTGGGGCCTGCTTGAGGGTCTCCCTCTCCTTCTGCCCCTCTCCCCACCCCCCTGCTTGTTCGTTCTCCCTCTCTCTAAAATAAGAAAATGAAAATAAATTTTAAAAAGTAAACTATTTGGGTAGTCATAACGTGCAAAATATAGACGAATCGGAAATACAAGAGGGAAGAAAAATAGTTATTTATCTCCCCCCATGTCAAGGTGATTACTGCTAAATACACTATTGTTTTTTACCCAGTTGTCATTTAAAATCAGAGTAAATAGGGGCACCTGGGTAGCTCAGTCAAGCATCCAACTCTTGGTTTGTTTTTTTTTTTTTAATTTTTTTTTTAACGTTTACTTATTTTTGAGACAGAGAGAGACAGAGCATGAACGGGGGAGGGTCAGAGAGAGGGTGACACAGAATCGGAAGCAGGCTCCAGGCTCCGAGCGGTCAGCACAGAGCCCGACGCAGGGCTCGAACTCACGGACCACGAGATCATGACCTGAGCCGAGGTCGGATGCTTAACCGACTGAGCCACCCAGGCGCCCCCAGCTCTTGGTTTCAGCTCAGGTTGTGGTCTTACAGTTCGTGAGATCGAGTCCCATGCCAGTCTTCTAGCTGACAGTGCGAAACCTGCTTGGGGTTCTCTCTCTTTGTCTCTCTGTCTCTCTCTCTCCCTCTCTCTCTCCCTCTCTCTCCCCCTCTCTC